AAAAAAAAAAAACAAAAATAAAAGAATAACAAATCAAACTAGAAAATATATCAGCTCCGAAGGACCCGAATTTTTAAAATACTCAAATTTTTAACACTTGAATTTTTAAAATGCAACGGCCCCGAATAATAACACCTGAATTTTTAAAATACCCAAATTTTTTACAAAGTACAAAGGTTAAAAAAAAAAAAATGACAATAGAACTTAAAAAATGACAGCCATATAAAAAATAAAAAATAAAAATAAAAATAAAAATGTTATTTTGCCATTTGTTTCATTTGGCCACATCAGGAACAATCGGCCATGTTCGGGTCCTTCGGGCCGTTGCATTTTCTAGTTTGTTTTTTTTTTATTCTTTTAAATTCTTTTTTCTCGAATTAACGGTGCTATGTATTATGTTAATTTTAAGATTAATATTGATAATTTTACAAGATTTATGCCCCGAATTGAGAAAAAAAAATTTAAGCCCCGAGTTAATAGTTAACCTATCTTTCGGGTCTTGAATTGAAAAAATTTCTTTTTTTTTTTTACTGTAATGTCAGTTGGACCATGTTGACTTTCGCTTGCATTGAAGAACATTTTTCTCTATACTGAGTCTATTTATTACATGACATAAAATTTTCAAAATATATCCATAACATTATAAATGGTCTCATTAGTTACATTTTGAAGTTATGCATTGGTTTCATGTAGTAAATCATATTATCGGTTTGCTCTAAAAATGATAGTTATGTTAACATGTCTAATGGTTAGTGAGTAATACATTTTCAACAAATACACATGTTTTCGTATTTAAATGTCGTACTTAAAAAATACGATATATATAAACAATCCCTCCCTATATATTAATTCAAAACATATTGAGCCTAAGTGACAAATCTCACGCTTCGAATGCTGACATGGCGAAAATATATGTTTCGTAATGTTGTTTATATATTCATGTTTTCTCTGGAGTTAGGCGCTCTGGAGTTAGGCTTGGTATTAGCATAAATAACTTTTATTTTCAAACTTGTTAAGTGTATATTTAATTTTGTTACTTTCTTCTTAGTACACATTTTTTTATTAGTTTGGGCAAGTACAATATTAACATATTATAATTTTTTCTCATATTTCTCTCTTAAATTACGATTTACAAATCAGTTTTTGCACTGTGCTACTCCTTTTTTTTTTCTCATCAATTAGTCCAATAAAATTTTTAAATAAGAAATTTATTTTAACAATAACTTTTTTCATATATTTCTTAACTCACCACACGTGTAGTACACGAGTACTGTACAAGTAGTATAAAATTTCATAATATAAGAAGGCATCTATTTTTTCTATTAAAAGAGGTGTGATTATATTAGTATTAAGACACATAAACAACAAAAAATTGTGCAAGTAATGCACCAATCATATCTATATTTTCAAGTTTGAGTCAAATAGTAGGGGTCTAAAATAAAATTTACATTAAAATGTTTTTTTTTCTATTAGCTAGTAAATCATTAATAAATTCCAAATACTTGGGTAATGAATTTACAATAAAATATTATATGTACATATAATATGAATATTTGTTTTTACCTAATGAAAAAAAATGATAATAGTTGGTATTAATTTCATGTATGAAAATCAGATGAATAAGGAGTAAATTTTGGATGAAATTTAAATCAAAGGTAAAAGGTAAAATTTAAAGGAAAAAATAAATGCTTATGACAAGTACTACTAGTCTCCTCGGAGATATCCGTTAAAATTGGAACGATACAGAGAATATTAGCATGGCTCCTGCGCAAGGATGACACGCATAAATTGAGAAATGACAAGTACTAAAATAGTTAATGTTCTCACACAAAATTATTTGAAAATGAACCATCAACTTATTTTCCATGGTGTAATATGATTGTCAATGATAATTTTTATTCTTTTTTGTTTTGGGGACTTTTTTTCATCCTATAATCATGATTTTTAATAATATTTATTTATTTATTTATTTATTTTGGGTCAATTGTAGGTTTGTTTACTTTTTGTATATTTTACTTTTACCCCCCTATTTGAGACATTAATCCCTCTTTTTCAAAGTCAATGCATGAGTTCAAATAAAAGCATTATAATGTGCAGATTAAATATTTATTCAACATATCTATATTAGTGTTCCTATTAACTATTAAGTCATTCAATTGCCATAATATAATATATTGACTTTAGGTTCTGCTGCCATTCAATTAATATTATTAATTTTTTACTGTCATAATTAAAAGTAAATTTGAGTGTCAAAATTTTTCATGAGTAGGTGACTTTGTTTGCATTAGTGAGACAAAGAATTTTTGGAAATTATTCATGAAGCCTTTATAGACTTTTTAACTACTATAATATAATAATTAGCGTCTAATTAATTGCATTTGTTGACAAAATTGTATTAGGAATTTTGTATAGATTTCATTATATTTGATAGAAAAATGCTATCCAACATATGCTATTGAAAGTACTATTTGAATAGAAAAAGATGTCAAGTGTGCATTTTTTTGTTTGTTGAATGTTTAGTTACATTAAATTAAAAGGCACGTGAAAAAAAAACTTGAAACCGGGTCGACCACGGATTAGTCGGAGCATAGCTCCGGATACCGTGGCTGGCTACCAAAGAAAAAAGGCACGTGAAATTTGAATAACTTGATATATGCATGTTACTAAAAAGCACGTGAAGTTGAATCACTTAGCTTGATGACCTTAGAATTACAAAAAA